TATATATATATATATATATATATATATATATATAAAAATGCCTAGTGCTATGCTCAAGAGCAAGAATCTGATCTTTACAGCTTATGGACTCCCATATGAGAGCAGAAGTTTTGTCTAGAACACCAGATCTGTTTGTTTGAACATAAATCCTGTATAGGCCCCCAGGGAGAAGTTAGAGAAAGGGAGTAATCATTATAAACCACTTAGTGTTGTATGGACTGTATCATGTTGCTGTGAGAAAGTTGTGTTTAATTGGCTCATAAAATAGGTTTAGTAAATCCTTTAAATAGTGATTTGGGCAACTGTGCACACTGCAATACAGTAGTGAATGCATTATAAGGATTGCAATGTCTCCAGAATGGTCACCTGGGGACATATGGCTTTCTTCTTATCAGAGTGATACTGGGTTTGTTTTTGTTTATTTTCACATCTACATGATGTGTCCTTTTGGTATCAAACTGCTTTCTGGTGTTTCAAAGTCAGTCTCAATGAGGTTATCCTTAGTGACACATATGCTGAATTAAAAGGACATTGGTTGCAACACACGCTTGTTTTCAAATAACATGTGCTAAGATTGGTAAAGCAAGAACTGTCTATAAAAGTGAGCCAAAGATGATCCTTCTTATCTGGACTTACTTTGCATATGAGTCACAGTTCTCCTGGCTTTTGTACATCTAGCTGAGTTACATTTGTGTTCACTTTAAAAAGCTATAGGTTTAAAGCTATGGAAACTGAATTGTGCTTTTACCCCTAGAATGCCAGGAGTCTGGAAAGTGCCATAGAAAGAAGTGCATGAATTACATAGAAGCACTGGTGACTACAGTATGCCTGGCATCCAGTCCTTTTCAGACTGAAGTCAATAAATATAACACCTAACAGATTTTTATTCACATTTTATGAAATAGAAGAAGATACTTTTTTCTTTTGTTTTGTAGCTGAGTCTATAAACTACAAAAATGCCCTCTTAAAAATGTATACACTGAACTTAAACAGCAATCACAACTTTTTCTCAAATCCCTGAGGCTGCAGTATCCGTACATACACATTGTATTCATATTAACATATGATCATAAGAGAAAAATATTGATGGATGAATTTAAGAATCGGATTATTTAAGTGGGTGGTGCTGGTTTAGAAAATAATTCAAACACAATGGTGATAAAAATCTATCATGATTTCAGTAAAGTTTTAAAATTCAGGTATATGGCAGTAATATTTCGTGAACACATTTTAATGAGTATGTTCATTGTATTCATTTTTAATTAAGGGGGGAAAATACTGGTCCTTTAAAAGAGATAATATATAAGTCTAACATGCATGGACATGCAGCACAACAATATATTGCCTGCTATCTAGCTAGGAAACTGGAATAACTATAGAGTAAGCTTATGAAAACTTTAATGGAAAACTGTTATGAAGTAATGATTTTCGCGTTAAATAATGCCTGCCTTATTTGGAAGTGTGTGTGTTCTTTTTTTAAAATCAGAGTTTGAGTTACAGTTCTGGGTAGTACTATTTCTTTCCAAGAAAAGATTTAAACTGTATTTATGCTTTACCAATTCAAGTTGCATTGTGAAGCAGAATTTGTGTGTTTGTTTATATACATGTTTGAGAATATGAGCAATGCTTGAAAAATTGAGGGAGAGTAGGAATCTTCTCCAGGCATTTGTAATCACTGTTTTCAAAATCTAAATTACCATTTTCTGTTTTTCTGTCTAATTTATCTACTTACATATCTTCCTTCCTCCCCTTTCTTCTTAATGGCTATGAATATAACCTTCCAAAGGTTTCTGTAAGTTTAAAAAGCAGTGCTGCCTTCATACATCACCAGGTGGACCACTGTAGTGCCTCTGGTGTTGTGTAGAGGTACTAGATATGTCAACATGTAGATTACTACAAGATTAACTGATAAGCCTGGGCTATGATAGAAAGGCAGCATGGTGGAGGGTGAAGAGGACAGGCAGGTGCTGATATGCACGGAGAGCTGGCTTTCAAGCAGGCTCCCTGTGCGTGCTGGCTCTGTGGACACGCCTGCCCTCTTGCTGTCTTCTGTAGAAGCAGAACGGGGCGGGGGAGGGGAGCTGGCTTAAAAGCCGGTTACGCCCAGCGTGAGCTCTCTGGTGCCACCTGCCCCACCCCCTGATCTGCGTGGGGGCGGGGGGACAGGGAAGGCTACCACAAAGCAGCCCCTGTCTATAGTGGGGGTCTGAGCTCCCCATGGACAGGGGCTTCTCCCACTCCATCTGTTTCCTCTGATACAGAAGCAGCAGCGCAGGGTGGCAGGGGACTCCCCAGGAATGGGGCTGGAGCGCACTGGCTGCTGACCCTGCCTCCAGGGACTATGGAATAGTCATGTAACCACTAAGATTTCATGCGGTTATATGACTGTTAAATTACATGATATCTAACACCCCTAAGAGATAACCTATTGATTGTGAGACAGTTGCCCAAAATGCTGAATAATTTTTGGTACATTATATACTTAGACCCTACCCAGCAAAGATCTCAATGAAACTACACACATGCTCTAAGAATATTCTTAAGAGCTTTGCTGGACTGAAAACTTAATGCAGCTCAAGCCTTTCCAAACGTTTTCCTGTTGGGGTACGGGAGGACAAAATTATTAGCTGCAAAAGAAGCCATTGAACTTCACTGGTCATCAGCAAAATACTATTACTGCTGCTACTAAGATAGTATATACTAATTATTCTGTCACACACAAACATATTTCAAAATCCCTTCATTTCTTTTTTATGATTATTTTCTTCCTCTCTATTTCATATGTTCATATATTTTCCATATATGGAACAAACATTTGTTACTGAGAGCTTTTGTTCAAAATGCTAACTCTGATTCTAGCTTTTTTAACTGTACTGAATGACTTTATTATGTGTTTAAGCCAGTAGCTATTTGGATGAACAACTTAGGATTAAAATTGCTGGTTTCAGTGACATACTTTCAGCATGAAAAGATCAATATTGTTGTTTTAAAATGAAATGTGACTATGTTGAGTGAAACATAGGAATTGTATCAGTCAATAAATGTTTGATTTTTCTTTTTCTTTTAGGTATGACTTTGTAGAGATTGAAGAGCCGAGTGATGGCACGATTTTAGGGCGCTGGTGTGGTGCCAGTACTGTCCCAAGCAAACAGATTTCTAAAGGAAACCAGATCAGGATAAGATTTGTATCAGATAAATATTTTCCTTCTGAACCTGGATTCTGCATCCATTATACTCTGCTCGTGCCAGTAAGTAGTATCATTTCAGGACCAAGAGATATCAGGAAAACAACATTTTAACAATTACTACTCCTCAGGAAAGTGAATTGATGGTTTAGGGTTAGCCACTGATTATTTATCTTTTATTATTATCACTATTATTATTCTTAAGTCTGTCTTCCAGGGCCATAAATTTTAGCTCTGTATTATAACCAACCAAAAGTTCTTGTGGTTAGAATGGTTGGCTTTGGATTGGGAAGTTGTGGGCTCAGTTATTCACGTAGAAACTTCAGTAAAACTCTTGCATTACTAATGCAGTATAGTAAAAAGAAGACTTTTTTTTCTAGCTATGGGAAGAATCAGTTGCTTGTCTGTTGGAAAACTGACATTTCAGAGCTCATTGGGAAATTACACAGAGAAGCCAGAATTTTCTCATGGGAAATATAGAAATAATAAATGTATTTGTTAGTTGTGACTTGCCATTAAGAGGACACAGCCAACCTTCTGTGTGGTATAAATAGCTAAAATACAGGAAAATGGTGGTCATTCCTAATTGCTTTATAGTAAAAGCAAAACACTCAATAACTTACATATTGCTTTTCATTACATTTTTTCTTGGGGAACATGCTTTAGGACTGATTCTGAGATTTGCACTACTCAAAACATCTCAAGACCAAGTACTCGTTTGAAATGTCATTCCTAATGTGTATTGGTTTTCTTCCTCAGCATATTGTTATTGCCTTTGTTACACAATATGAAAGGTCTCCAGTAGCCAAAATAATGTTTCTAAGTTTCCAATGATGAGGACATATTGATAAAGGGTCAGAATGCCTACTTTATATTTCAGAACTACATGTGTTTTAGTCCAGTTCCTTAGAGTTTATTATGCGTGTTTTATCTCCTAATTACCCTTACTGGCCTTGGTGACCAAAACTGTTTTTAAGCTCATTATTGAAGAATAAAATAATCAAAATAACCCATACTGTAATAACTCATATTGTAACTCCTTTGGCTTGAAGCATAAAGCTAACTTGAGTGCTACTGAACCAGAAATGCATTTGGCTCATTCACTTGAATGTTATTGCAATTTTCAATTAAGTTTTCCCATACTTTGTGTGGTTTTGTGGCCTGAAAGTGCTACTGTATTACAAATAAATACTAAAAATATTTATAAAGTGCTTGCACCTCTACTTAGATGAGAGGAAGGGAGTAAACTGCAAATTATTAACAAAAAGGGAAAAGTTAGGGTTTTCTTTCACCTCCAGTGGTTGCGAACAGACTACAACTGTATATGTAACACCTTGGTACAATATTTTATTAGTACAACTGCTACATACCCACAGTTAACCTGAAACTAGCTCATTGTCAAAGGTCCATATGAACTCAAAATTAAGTGCAGTCTATGCAAATAGCCCTGTTTTACAGTTTCACACATCTCAGTTAAAGGGAGTGGAACATGTATAGGTGAGGGCAGAATTTGGCCACATGTATTCAATTTTAGAAAATAGTAAAAAAAATCCAAAAATAAATGATTCTTGAGGACAGCTGCCAGTTTTTTTATTGTCTCCCTGACACATGTAACAGATGGGATGTAATATTATATATGATTTGCACATAATTTAAATTCCATCTGAAATTTGTGGAATGGTTTAAATAAACACATTCCTGAGTTCCAGAATCCCCTTATCTTTACATTATACCATACTGTAAAAACAGATGCTGTAGTAAGAGACGATTATACTTACTTGATTTGAGAGAAGTGAATTTTGTTATCTTTCTCATAACTTGAAGAATAAATTGGTTAGCATCAGCCGTTTTCTGAAGGAAAAGAATGTAATTGAAACATTAAACTGTTGTTTCTGCCCTAATAGCATCTTCCTCCAACTATCTATATAAAATTATAAAAACGGCCATAGTGACTCAGACCAACAATCGATCTTGTCCAGTATCCTGTCTTCCAACAGTGACCAATGCCAGGTACTTCAGAGGGAATGAACAGAACAGGTGCTCATCAAATGATCCATCCTGTGTTATCCATTACCAGTCTCTGGCACACATGCTAAGGACACCATCTCTTTCCATCCTGGCTAACAGCTATTGATGGACCTATCTTCCATTATCTGTATTATTATCCAGCCTGTCAAAAACTCTTTGAGTTAAAGAGATTTGTCCCATTCAGAGGATCAAGTGAATGATGTTTTGAAAGAACTAACGCTGAATAAGTGAGGTTAAAATTGCCATTTTACATGAGTGGTAATATATTTAGGGCTTCTGTTGTAAGGGGTATATTAACTCAGTTGCAGAGGAGGGGATTTTTAGCTATTTTTGATTTGTACGTACGTGTCCAAAATCTTGAGACTTATATCCTTGTACCTGCTGTAATGAGGAATGTAGTATATACTGTAGTATATATAGTAATCTCTGTAATGTTCCCTAGTGCACATCAGCAATGGACTAATTAATGCACAATACATTAGAGTGCTTTAAAAATTAATCCCCATAGCCCACCTTATTGCTGTATGTAGGCAAGTAACCAATTCCACTGTTTTTTCAATATTTATTAGATAATCAGTGATTTGTTCAATATTTATTAGATAATCAGTGATTTGTTGTTTCCTTTTAAAGCCAGGGTGTTTTGTTTGAATATGTACTCAAACCAGTGAAATTCCAGTGATGTGAATGGAAATACACTTGACTGATACCTATGCAAGTGAAATCAGTATCACTACATCTATATATCTAATATGATGCATATTTGTACCTTATCAGACATACAAGTTATATGTATAATATGTTATGTATACACACATCTATGAAAGGTGATATCTCTGTGATAAATTAGAATGATGCATATATCACTTGCTTATTAATCCATCTCTTAGAAACATACTCTTGTATTCCAAATCTCTTCACATCTTCAAACAGCTGCCATTGTTTTAATTCAACCTTACAAAGAAAGGTTTCCTCCCTTTACTTTTGAATGACATACCTTACCTCCAAAATAATATCTGCCCAAAGACCAGAATGGGTAAAAGTAAATCATAATGACAGAGTTTCTGAATAGACAGACTGTACAGCCTTAGAGTTGACTATCTCACAGTCCTGCACAGCTGGAAAGGGGAGCTTTATAAAAGTAGAAGAAAGGGGAGATTTAGCTATGGAACAATGTATATGGAATACATAACAGTCAAATATAGTGAAAAGGTTTTAGCATTACTTGCTTTTGAATAATCCACATATTTTAATACAGGCAGTCCCCGGGTTACGTACAAGATAGGGACTGTAGGTTTGTTCTTAAGTTGAATCTGTATGTAAGTCAGTTCCGACTTACATACAGATTCAACTTAAGAACAAACCTACAGTCCCTATCTTGTACGTAACCCGGGGACTGCCTGTATTAAAATATGTGGATTATTCAAAAGCAAGTAATGCTAAAACCTTTTCACTATATTTGACTGTTATGTATTCCATATACATTGTTCCATAGCTAAATCTCCCCTTTCTTCTACTTTTATAAAGCTCCCCTTTCCAGCTGTGCAGGACTGTGAGATAGTCAACTCTAAGGCTGTACAGTCTGTCTATTCAGAAACTCTGTCATTATGATTTACTTTTACCCATTCTGGTCTTTGGGCAGATATTATTTTGGAGGTAAGGTATGTCATTCAAAAGTAAAGGGAGGAAACCTTTCTTTGTAAGGTTGAATTAAAACAATGGCAGCTGTTTGAAGATGTGAAGAGATTTGGAATACAAGAGTATGTTTCTAAGAGATGGATTAATAAGCAAGTGATATATGCATCATTCTAATTTATCACAGAGATATCACCTTTCATAGATGTGTGTATACATAACATATTATACATATAACTTGTATGTCTGATAAGGTACAAATATGCATCATATTAGATATATAGATGTAGTGATACTGATTTCACTTGCATAGGTATCAGTCAAGTGTATTTCCATTCACATCACTGGAATTTCACTGGTTTGAGTACATATTCAAACAAAACACCCTGGCTTTAAAAGGAAACAACAAATCACTGATTATCTAATAAATATTGAACAAATCACTGATTATCTAATAAATATTGAAAAAACAGTGGAATTGGTTACTTGCCTACATACAGCAATAAGGTGGGCTATGGGGATTAATTTTTAAAGCACTCTAATGTATTGTGCATTAATTAGTCCATTGCTGATGTGCACTAGGGAACATTACAGAGATTACTATATATACTACAGTATATACTACATTCCTCATTACAGCAGGTACAAGGATATAAGTCTCAAGATTTTGGACACGTACGTACAAATCAAAAATAGCTAAAAATCCCCTCCTCTGCAACTGAGTTAATATACCCCTTACAACAGAAGCCCTAAATATAACACATCGTCATTTTTCAATGTCAAATGTACTTGTGTAGCAAAGTATCCATTTCTCCTTTTGGAATAGGAAATGCTCTTTCACCCCAAATTTTATTGTGTAACAAGCTATAAAGTGATGAGCTTCAGAACTGAACCTATTTAATCTAAGATCTAGATATTCAAAACTGTTGCACAAAGCTTACTGACACTAATATTGCTATTAACTGTAATTTTTAGGGGGCTGGAAGTTAGCATTCCTACAATGGAAATATTGTGGAGGCTCTACCTGCATATAAACATTTGCATGCCCCAAAGGGAAAGGGGAAACGTCATGAGAATAGGACCCCCAGGGGCTGGAGTAGCTCCCATGGAATCTGGAATCAGGGAGCAGAACCCAGAATATCTGGAACATGTAGGTAGGAACCCTGAGATCCTCCTTCCCAGCCTGGAGCCCCCCTCAATCCACCTCCTATTCTTCTGCCTCTTCCCAATTCCCAGGTACATAAGTGTAGTCCTATATCACACTATATTTCAAGAGATCGAGAAATCCATATGTCCACAAATGAAAGATGGTCCTATATGTGCAGAAATAAAAAGTCTAAATGAATGCAAAGTATAAAGTAATCAAATGGACGTTGAAAATAACCGGTCTACTTTTATGACTT